GATTTTAATTAAAGCTGAGAAAACCCATGATAGATTTTAATTAAAGCTGTGTAAACCCACGATAGATTTTAATTAAAGCTGTGTAAACCCACGATAGATTTTAATTAAAGCTGTGTAAACCCATGATAGATTTTAATTAAAGCTGAGAAAACCCATGACAGATGTTAATTAAAGCTGTGTAAACCCATGATCGATTTTAATTAAAGCTGAGAAAACCCCTGACATATGTTAATTAAAGCTGAGAAAACCCATGATAAATTTTAATTAAAGCTGTGTTAACCCATGATAGATTTTAATTAAAGCTGAGAAAACCAATGATAGATTTAAACTAAAACTGAGAAAACCCATGATAGATTTTAATTAAAGCTGAGAAAACCCATGATAGATTTTAATTAAAGCTGAGAAAACCCATGACAGATGTTAATTAAAGCTGAGAAAACCCATGATAGATTTTAATTAAAGCTGTGTTAACCCATGATAGATTTTGACTAAAGCTGAGAAAACCAATGATAGATTTTAATTAAAGCTGAGAAAACCCATGATAGATTTTAGTTAAAGCTGAGAAACCCCATGATAGATTTTAATTAAAGCTGAGAAAACCCATGACAGATTTTACTTAAAGCTGTAAATACCTATGACATATGTTAATTATCTCTAATGACTGTGATATATGCTGTTACTTGTTTATTGTCAAATATTTATTCTGCTATTAAAAAATTACAAATTTTTCTTGTATATTTTTTTGCCAAAATCTGAATATGAGGAAATATGCATCTGGTAAAGGATTCCAGTTACTTAAACTGGTGTTATGGATTGTTTTACAATTTTAGTGAAATAAGTGACTTATTTAGCTCTGCATTAGAATTTGATATAAAGTACGGTAGCAAAAAATATGTTCCTAGGTGAACAATGTAGAATTATTAGCTATGGGCCGATTTGAACTTTACAGGAGGAGTGAATATTTTCCTAGACTCAAAATTGCATAGTGTCCTAGTAAATTCGTTTTGCTGATTTGCTATCTCATTGACGATTTCTCCATTATTCTTATTTCTAGGAAACAATGAATTTTTAAGGAATAAACATGACTGTTAAATGTGTAGAAGAAACATCTTTAAAATAAATCTAAAATTTCATGTTAATATTTGTAGCTGAATGTATATATTCTGAGCCAACAAAGTTGAGCAACACTTTTTACCTTTACGTCAAAGAGAGAGGGACGAAAGATACCAGAGGGACAGTCAAACTCATAGATTGAAAATAAACTGACAACGCCATGACTAAAAAGACAAAGACAAACAGACAACTAATAGTACAGAAGACACAACATAGAAAACTAAAGACTAAGCAACACGAACCCCACCAAAAATTGGGGGTGATATCGGGTGATCCGGAAGGGTAAGCAGATCCTGCTCCACATGTCAACACGTGACAAATTCATTCCACCACACGAGTAGTGCAAAGACTAAGGGCAGCTACTGAAGTGCGTCATCGATGCATGAGAAGCATGGACGAGATATTTGTTTTGAGTAACACTATACCTATTTTTACATTTTGACCCTACTGTGCTCCATACATAGAAATTGAATGTGAGTTATAAACACACATGTTGCTTCTGAATTGCCAAAATTCCATTTTATTATTAAGTTTTTGATAAAATCTTAAAATTTTGTTGCAAAACTTTTTTGGCGCAATATAAATGTTTTTAAAGTATTGAAAATTTCGAAATTTTAGCCAGTTCAGATAATATATGTATTTTTTAAACTTTGCCAGAAAAAAAAATATCGTTCAGTTCCTGCAAAAAATTGCCAAAGCCATTATTGTTCATTAACCATGACAATCACAATTTTTTTCTTGAATTAGATCGTTTGAAAGTTACGAATTTTTCAAATAATTTTGCTTTCTGACATAAGAAAATTAATTGACAAAACTCACTTTTTTTATACAAAACCTTCCTCCGGCTCTTTTTGCATTACTTTTGTGTCTGTAAGTGAAAATTGTATGGTCCCAACAATAGTTGTAGTCAGGTATCGTCCCCGAGGGTATTACCAGCCTAGTAGTTAGCACTTCGGTGTTGACATGAATTTCAATTATATGGTAATTTTTATAAATTAACTGTTTGCGAAAGTATAAATTATTCGAAATACTAAGGATTTTCTTATCCCATGCATAGATTACCTTAGCCTTATTTGGCACAACTTTCAAAATATTGTTTGTAATATGTCAAATTTCTGGAGAAAGAGGAGAAGAATAGAGATTAAAATTCGAGAACAGAAACTTGAGATCAATGAAAAAGAACCAATTTCCAACAAACAAACAAAAAAGAGACTAAAATATGGATAATTTTTTATCAAAATTCCGGATTGATAAGAAGTTGTTCATCAATAATAATGCTACTTCACATTTAAATTTCAGAAATTTTACTCTATACCCTGGCTCAGCAGAAATATTTTTAATTTTTCTAAAGTCAACCTCTCATGCAGACAAATATAAAATGATAATTTTTATCATCGAGAAAAAGAGTGCTAATTTAAAAGTTTAACGTGTCGATCTCGGGTCTTTTTCATGGAGTGTCAACATTGAACAAATAACATCTTGATTTACCTTTACTTTACAGGGGCATTAGCTTCGAGATATATAAAAAAAATCTAATGTATGATTTCTTTTGTTCAATCATTAATGAAAGTGAAATAGTGAAATAATTATTCGCTTTTAGCAGCCAGTATGGTTCAATTTTGTCAAAATAAGCTTAGAAACATTGATGATGAATTATGCACTTGCAAGTGAACGATTCGACCTCATTGAATCCGTATTCATGTGAACTTCAATTCAACCCCTTAGCTACACAAGGATAACACGTGAATTGTATGTGTAAAGTTATTTAAAGGAAAAGAATGTCAACATTGAAAGTGAAACAAAGGTAAATCATTTCATTGACTGATTCGATTCACAAAAAATCATTCTTATACACTCAGGTAAAAACGCTGATAAACATATATTTGCAATCTATGTATATGTAAGAGAATGATAATCCCTTTCTTCATGATTAAGTACGAGCGTTAGCGAGTACTTATCATGATGAAAGGGATTATCATTCTCTTACAAACTTAGAATATTGTAAAGTGCTCAAGGCTCAAATGATCTCTTGATTGGTTCTATTCAAGAATTTGTTTCATTGTCCGTGAAATTTTTATAATTAATGAATGACTTCTCTTTTAGGCATTTCATTTATGTGTTGGTCTTAGTGATGTAAGGACTTACTTTTAATTTGGGAAATTTTAATAAATTGTGTTTTAGACATTAGATGACACAACGTTACAATGAAATTGTAGAAATTGTATAAGTTTCCTAATTGTGAGTATGAGTGTAAATTATGTAATATTTTAGTGAGGAATTATCTTTTTGTTTATCTACAGTTCAATTAGATAAATTCAAAATCAGAGTTACAACTAAATTGTATTCCACAGCCAATTTTATTCCAGCTCTTTACATTAAATACTACTGAATTAACTAAATTTTAAATTTTGAAAGGAATTGCTTTTTATACGACATTCAAAAGTAAATTCAATTTCCTGTATGTACCGGTATTTTGGAAATGACTATTCTTACTAACTGCGAATACAGTTATATGACTTTTGATAAGCGTAATACATGTAGCTAAAGATTTAGGTTATATTTGATTTTTAAAGTTTTTTTCTTTTTCTTTTTGATATTGCTTATTTTTTTGTAATTTGAAAGTTCTAAGTATTTACATGATAACACAAACGGTATCAATTGTACTGCACAAGTAAACTTCAAACTTATTTTGATCATTTTTGTTTGTGTCAAAATTCAACTTTAAATCAATAATCCTAATAAATGTGCTTCAGGCAGTTGTAGCTCATTTATACAAATTCTTTGTTTTGAACTGTAAATAGGCCTAAACAAAAGGATAATCCCTTACTAAGAACATGATTTACATTCATTCTTCACAATTAAGGAACACCAAATTCTACACTTTCATTGGTCGAGAGCACTTTGCTATATTCTAGAATAGGAAATTTAACAGACATAGAAAAATCCAATAGCACGAGTTCGCTTCATCTATTTATATCTATATTTATGTTTACGTCGCTTATATGGTCATCAAATAACTTCAAATGGAGGTAAACTCGATAGTTAATTAGATGGCGTCTAGACTAAAATACAAACGAAACGATGCTACGTATTATCATGCCCATGTCTTGTTAATTGTTTATTTTAGACTTTTATTAGTTTGGATAAATGTTTTACATTGTTATGAATCAAGTATGAGAATTTGAGTCAAATCGGTAGACATGAACTTGACAGCTGGTGCAATTTTAACTTTTTCAATAACTCTAATGTTGTTCAAATCATGAAGTCATTGCTTATTTCTTTCAATTAAAAAATTTAAAGTCAATAAAAATAGAACATTCAGTAAAATAAATTTAATGATACAACTCTGCTTACCTAAATGAATTCAGAGACAAAAACATTTTTATAAGGGTAGGTCTAATTCAAATTGAAAGTGTTTCCGCATGCGTCATTTCATGCAGTTTTATGTCCTTATACTATAGTTAAAATTTTGAAAATTCCGCTGATTAAATCTAGTATGTTTAAATCACTCGTCAGATATATCCGATTTTTAAAGAAAATAAATTGTCACAGAAGGAAATTTATAAAACTTAAAAAAGAAAAAAGAAAAACTGATGTTCTCGTACTGCAATTAAAAATACATGTTTGTTTTTGATAATAGCAAAAAAAAATGATTGTCTTGTAAACAATATCAAATCCATCATCGTCCTCCTCCTCCCCCTTATTTTTGGTCAGTGTCTGAATAAACTGATATGATAATAGATGTAACCATTATGACATTGCTTGATTTCTAATCGCATATAATATAAACCAGAAAGGAAAAGGTAACTTCAACGCTTGCTCTTTTACAACAATGCGATAAATTCACAGTCTTCACAGGTAGAAAACATTCACAAGTTATCTACCTTTCATCGCTCGACTTTAGTCCAGGTCAACCAGTGGCATTTTTCTTATTGCATTGGACAGGTAAATATTCCTTTAAAACTATATAAGTTTATAACTGCAGTCTGGTGCTGAATTGTTAAAAATAAGTCAAGGTAAGCATAAATATCAGAAACATGTTAAAATACGTAATATTGGGTGTAAATACAACGAGATGAAAAATCAGTTAAATACATGATTACAATACTTTTCCTGGTATAACACGTTAAGTCAAAGTACTGACATAATGTCAAGATCTGATTGTTGACGAATAAAGCTTAGAGATTTTTATCTCACAGTAGAACTAGCATATATATTCTTATTTCGATTTCAAATTTTCAATACGTATGTGATCGTTGAAAACATTAACATTTGTTGAATTCAATACTGTCATGACATGGAGTCGGAAGGGACTACTCAAATTTTTTAAAGATAATGATAATAACAGATGCATAATAAAAGTAAAGAAAATTAGGGTATACATAATTCATTTGTTTTTGTGATTTTTTTTTTGTACATCACGTTTAATATTCGTTTTAAGTAGAATAAAACAATATCCGAAAGTTTAAAACACTCAGGCTATAGCACATATACATTTTTATAAATTGTAAACTATTTTATTCATCCTTTGTCGTACACTGAATTCTGTTGTATTGCTGTTTGATCATACTGATAGATGGCCAAAAGTAATTAAGTAATAATGAATATATCGGCAATCATTCTTATCATAAATGTCTTCAAATAGACGTTTTTCTGTACATTTACAGCAGATTCCAACGAGTGTGTAGCTAAAGGTAGAATCTTTGGTTAGCTTCCTTGCTAGCTCAACCATGAAATGATTATTACCTTAAAATTGGGAGGAGCACAGCGCTATATTATCATCCAATGAAAACATTTATATCAATGGCCTGTTTATTATTTATAATATATGTATGTTTCATACAAAGGTTTACCGAGACTACTTTGTAAATGAAATTTCATTTCTTACTCTTTGATTGAATTAAAAAATCTTTTTATTACAAATAATCAGAAGCGGAGTCACGTTGTTTTTTTTTTAAATATTTACGCCGGGAATAGGCAGTCTTGTAAATTAATGTCTTTTGGTGTATTCCCCACGCATGAAACATTGTTATGTATTTTCTTTATATATGCATATTTTTTAGAACTAAAATCTTTTATATTCACACAGAAAAGAAAAATTATCATACTACTTAATATCATGCACGGTTGTAGTACTTATATTTAGTTAAAATTGCAACGAAAAAAAAAACCCAGCAAACAACTGCAGTTTAGAATTGAAAATATTGCAGAATTTATGGACATCCACTTGGTTTGTTAACTACTTATTAGTGTTAGATAAATAATGCAGCCATGAAGACCAATTTTTATGTCTCTACTTCAGTTCGATTTAATCTGACCTAGATTAAATGATCAGGTCATATGTACTTTTGAACACCTTCCAATCTTTTTTACCTGTCCGGGTGTATTGTAAACATATGTGTATGTGTAAAAGTGAATACGGTCAGCACTTGTCAATCATATCCAACTACATTTTATTAACTTGATGTAACAAATTCAACAGACAGGTAAAATATATTGTTATTTGTAATGTCTGACGAAGAAGAAAACATTTTAGGAATTTCAGCTTTCATTTAACTTTTAACCATTTATCAAAATAAAATTGGCAAATCAAACACACCTACAACATGCTTGTGAATGATCTTAATAATTATCATTAAATTTTAAATTTAGATTGAAAACTTATTTTTAAACTGACTTGTAAAACTAGTGTTACAATGTTTATATTCTGTCACTTAATTCTGATTGGTTCTCTGCTTAACTATTGACTCCACCCAAAGGCTGGATGTACCTTACCTAATAATGATTTCATGGTTGAGCTAGCAAGGAAGCTAACCAAAGATTCTACCATTAGCTACACACTCGTTGGAATCGGCTGTAAAGGTAAGCTCTGACCAATCAGGTTGAAAAAAATGGGATAATACCGGTATAGTTTTAACAAATTTATACGCGACACTATTAACTCAAAGACAAACTTGTGAACAAAGCAAAGTGTAAGCAACATTAACCGAAAGAACAATGGAATTTCTCATCTGGACATTTTTTTCGCATCATGTTTTAATTGCAGTATTTTTCCATGTCAACAATTTTCTAAAAATTGTAGAAGAGAAATTGAAAGAATTTTGAGTGTTAATGTACATCAGAATCAAGATTTTTGTTTGGTTGAATTAATAATGGCTGTGTTGAATTAGATGTAACTAACTATACATTAGTTAATTAATCTCAATAACTTGGCGTTTCCTGAATCTCATGCCCTGATGAAACTACCAACATTAATCGTAATTTTTCGAACAACGGCATAATGTTACAATTATCTGAAAGCAGCACATTTGACACATATGATGCATTCAATCTTCTCATCAAGTCTTTGTTTTACGGATACTTACTGTGAAAGATGAACCGATTATTTCACAATAAATCTATCTAAAATTTAAAATATATGTTTTTATTAAATGTGCTTGTAACGGGCCATTATTCATCAATTTCGACAACGAAACAGGTGCTGCAGGAAATAGTTTAATTATTTAAAAACTAAAAGATGCCAAACAAAAGAGCTGCCAGGGGGTCGCCATCTAGGGCCATTGGAAAGAAGAGGAAGACGACCAGCAGGAAAGAAGGACAGGGAGTTCGGAACGTAGACATCACCCAAGAGAAGGACGGAGTTGGACGTAAACGAACGGACAGGAAAATACAGGAGGTGGAACACGTGGAGACACAAGGACCAGAAGAAAATGCTGAAATATCATCAGGTAATGAGTCGGAGGAGGGTGCACGGGCATTCCATCCTTTTAGGCACGACCCGTCACGCAAAAATTTTGAAAACACAAATAATTCAATTGACACAAAATGCTTACATTCATGACACCGTGGGGGAACACGTGCCTTTTAAAATTAAGGAAAAGATTTGGGAGGGAAAGATTATTGAACTACATTATCTTTTGAGAACGCAAAAAGAAATTGAGGAGATTGACGAGGGCGATTTTAAATTAAAAAGGTGGGTAATTTGCATTAAAAAAAGATGGGTCTTTATTTGTTCATAAATGAATGGACTTCAGCATTCATAGTTTTTATGAGTGTTTACATAGAGAAATACAGGACTCGGGCACAGGAATTGTTAAAATATATGCGCGATATAAGATTACCTGCAACGATGTCAGAAAACTGGGCCACCTATGACGAGCAGTTCAGGCTAAAAATAGAAAAGAAGCCAAATTTATCTTAGAGAAACATACACGGTAAATGTTGGCTATTACACATCACATCTCCCACAGTACAAAACAATGTGTCAGTGCAATCACAGGGTTTTGGAACAAATACACAAAATCGTGGTCATTATAACTCAAATGCAGCTACACTTTCAAACACTTACACGAGAACACATCAGCAATTACAGGTAACTAGTGGTAGTGTAAATATGTCATGTAAACACTATAATAATGATAATGATTGTCCCTACTTCCCTCGTTTTAGGTTTAAACATGTATGTGAAATATGCACAGAAAAGTCCAATGTAATAACCAGCCTAAGGGAAGTAACAATGAAAAACAAAAAGTAACAAAAAAAATATTTATAATATACTCATGCAATCTAACAAAGAAACATCAATAGGTTTTGTAATGTTTAAAAGTATTTTGCAAATAAACTCATCATACATGTAGATACCAGGATTGAAATGTTGTATTTGCGCCAGACGTGCGTTTCGTCTACAAAAGACTCTCCAGTGACGCTCGATCAAAAAAGATAAAACGGCCAAATAAAGTACGAAGTTGCAGAGCAATGGGGATTAAATTCCTAAACATTTAGCAAAAAACAGCTATGGTAATCTATTCCTGAGGTAGAAAAGCCTTAGTATTTCAAAAATTCGAAGTTTTGTAAACAATTAATTTATAATTATGACCATATCAATGATAATTAATGTCACATGCAAGTTGAAGATTCTAATTTGAAAATAAAACATAATATGTCTCTTATATTTAGATACTTAAAAGATAATAAAAAATTGAGTTGGAAATTTTTACAATGATTTCTGCCCTGTAAACAAATATTAAAAACTTGAGAAACAGTATATAGTCACTCCTTTATATAATGTTAAAGAGAATTGCAAACATTTCTTTATCACTGCAATTTTTTTAAAACTTTTTGGGAAAGTATTAGATTAATTTATTTACTCAAAATTGAATATCACACTATACGCTTAAAAAATCAAAAACATGATATAAAATAACTGATGAAAAGTGTTATGAAAATAATTGATTTATAACAATAATATCATTTAGTATAAATAAAGCATACTACTTTTTAAAAAGAAAATAAAAAGAAGTAAATGTATTCTCTATATTTAAGAATGAATTTCAGTCAATTGTAAAACACTACAAAGCAATGAAACAAGAAGTAAATAGTCATCAAAGGTACCAGGCTTATAATTTAATACACCGGACGCGCGTTTCGTCTACATAAGGCTCATCAGTGACGCTCAGATGAAAAAAGTTATAAAGCAAACAAGTAGTTTTACGGTACAGCAGATTGCAAACATTTAAGGATGTTTGCTACTCTGTTTCAAAATAACAAGCTTTTTAAAAGACTGTTATGAATTGATAGTATATTTGTAACTGAACTTATAAAGAAGAAAAAAATGATAGGTCCGTGTGCTTGTTTTTGAAAAATAAGCCATTGAAAATTAGGCGGGAAATGATTCTCTCTAGACTTTTCATAAAATTAACATTGGCAGCATTTTCTTTCAAAAACTATGAAAAAATAACAAGGTTTTTATAAGATTTTCAACTATGACTTTTAAAACTATATGTAATAAAATTATGAAATGAAAAGTAGGGCTTAATGGGCAAAATTTTTAATTGGTAGTAGATGGATAAAACCAGAGGATTCCGAATATCTGACAAAAAATCAAAAAGAAGAGGAGCGAACATCCTTAAAAATAAATCGCCTGTTCGTATTAGCTAACTATTTTATAACTGTTTAATACCACATGTTTCAGTGACACTAAACAGCAAAGGTCAAAGTCTTCAGAGAATGTTTCCAACTCAATTTCAGCTAGATGTTAAATTCAATGTTGTTGATGCATGGGTCATCGGCATTGGTGTGACAAAAAATAATACATTGCTCCTGTGTAATTGGTCAAATTCCAATTTATTAGTTATGTCAGAAAAAGGCAAACAGCTGGCAACAGTTAAAATGGATGGGAAACAGTGGGGGATAGCTATGGAGGAAGACAAGAATACAGCATGGGTCACACTACCAGAAATACAGTCTATTCAAACTGTAGATATAGTAACAATGAAGAAGGGACGCTTGATTAAAGTGCAGGACACCTGTTATGGTATAGCTCTTATTCACGACGAAATTGTTCTTGGTGGTAGCGGAAAAATATACATAATAAGCAATACAGGTGAATCAAAGAAGATATTTGATGTTGGAGGAGGCCCAATACATTCAATATCAGTTAGGGAAAATTTTGAACTTTACTATGCTCAAGCTGATGAAGTAAATCCTTCAAAATTGAAATGTGTAGGACTAGATGGAACAGTACGGTCTGCTTCTGTAGAAGATATTAATCACGTGATCGATATTAAAACCGACAGAAAAGGAAATGTATATTTACTAGAATACCTTTCACCAAATCTGAAGCTGTTTTCTGTTAAAGATAAGTCTATTAAATCCATGTTGACATCAAAAGATAATCTTACTGAGTCATATGGTTTTGCTCTCAGACAAGATTTTTCTAAGCTTTTCATTTCAAATTACACTACCATGGAGATATTGGTATATTTGTGTAAATAAATACCAGAGAAGAAAATGTATATAAGCACATGAACAAGAACTTTCTTTTTACAAATACGTACATTTCATTTATTGTAAGGACACTTTCGATCGGAGCAAACTAGTAAAACGTTCATGAGGATAGAATTTGTAAAATACCAGGAAACTACTAACATTCCGTTGCTTTCGTTATTGCTATTCGTCATCATGACCGTTTTTATTAAAGTTTTCATGTATGATACTTGAAAAATACTAACATTCCAAAGACGTTGCTTTCCTGATGGTTATTTGTCATCAGGACAGTTGTTGGAATGTTTTCCTCGCTATACATGCATGAATACTATACTTGATTATCGTAGTATAACTCCTTTGTCTTAATCGTAGTGACCAGATAACTTCCGGTAGGATTCTGTGAATCCTAGTCAATATCAATGTTGACATGTTTGATAACAAAATATATGAATTTGGTTGGCATTGGTATGTTAATTGATAAAATAGAGATTGCAAACGGGGAATGAGTCAAAGAGACAACAACTCGACCAAAGAGCAAAAACAACCAAGGCCACCAATGGGTCTTCAACACAGCGAGAAAATCCCGCACCCGAAGGCGGGCTTCAGCTGGCCCCTAAACAAAAATGTGTTTTAGCTCCACGAAAATAGACGTCACACTAAACTCCGATACATATAATTGAACCGAAATTAAAAGAAAAACATACAATACTAACTTGGAACTGGCGCAAAAATTTAGCGGGATTAAACATGTTTTGTGAGATCTCAACCTTCTCCATATACCAACAATATAGAATAAACAAACACACAGCAAACTCTGGTTTAACTGTGAATAATTGTCTTTGTAATTCAACCGCTTGATTAAAAGTAATGGACTATTATAATTTAATTGATCACTAATTTCATCACCTTCAATTTTATCAATTAAAGAGTTATAATTATGACTCTCCTTGTTTTGCCTGCATATCTTTTTTATTGTAATGTGTATACTGATGACTCTTGATCAAGGCTCCGTTTCTTTTATGTTTTGACCGTCCATTTGCAATATGGCTGCAAAAGGGGTGCTTTTGTGTGGAACCATCAAGACTACTCTTTCATTTCCAATCCTTCCACTCTTCGTTAAGGTTTTACATTTTATATTTATATATAATCCTTGCTTAATGCTATCAAATTAATGTTATTGCAAAAAAGTATGTAAAGAAAAATCAAGATTATGAACACGAGTTTTAATTTTTGCAAACCTTTCTGTTGCATTGATAAAAACATCGCAATAGTTTTCGAAACTACTGAAAGAACCTGGCTTTTTACTTAACAGACACCCGAACAGGTTTTAAACTTGTATTGACTATTATACATTTTATTTCTATGAATACACAAACATTTTTATGTTATCTTATCTTTAGAAGCAAATGCAACAGAAGCGCAGAATAATATATAGAGATTAATACATGGCCTTTTCCATATCGGCCCGAGTATCATCCCGAGACCCCCATATCAGCCCGATACGTAGTCGAGGTGCTGATATGGGTCGAGGGATGATACCCGGGCCGATATGGAAAAGGCCATGTATTAATCTCTTTATCATATATTTCCGACAATTGTTTTATGTAAGGCAAATAAACAAATGAAATAACTAAAACAGTCAAAAACTGTTTAAAGAAGTTAAATCATGAATCCAACAAATACACTATAATTGTCCAACAAAAGCATCACTACCTCCATATATATTGCTACCATTTCCTATAGAGGCATTTTGAAACATTAAAAATTTGGTAGCTGGAAGCATGGAGGAAGTATTTACAGTTTTATGACCATTATTACTACATTTATATGAGATGATTCATAATTGTCAATGGCATTTGTTAGCAAATACTAATTGTAAACTAGCATCATTTTGAAAATCTATAGCATTGGCTTTAGCCATGTTAACATATGTTTTTCAATAACAGTTGGTTCTGTACAAACAGATTTACCACTGGATCCACTAAACCTTATCGCTATTTGTCCGCCATTACTGGACATCACAAAAGTTCCCGTAAATTTTGACGTCATAATAAAAAATATCTGACGCCACAATGGAAAAGTAAACATACGATACCGGAAATACCAGAAGTAACTTGTACGAGAGGCACTGTTATGGGTTTTTTTGCACGAGACGCCCCTGATATGGGTTATCAGCCCGGGTGGGAAATTATGGCTTGTGTATTTCCGTTCATTACACATATGCAAAAGCTATCATATTAATGCTAAGTATATGATAAATACAAATAAGCAGATATGTTATGATTGCCCATAACAGAACAGTAAAACAATGACAAATGCACAAGGACTGAAACAAATACAGGTCATTCGCCTATTTTGCAATATTTTCATTAGGTGCCCATTTATGACGTCAAATTTTAAATGAATACTAATTAAAAATATGTTTGTCCTTGACTTGATTCCTTTTATTTTCAATCGTAGAATAAATTACTGCCTCTTCGTTCACTTCTTCTTGATAATCAGAAGATATATGAACAGGATCTAAGACTGACAAGAGGTGAAATTTAGGACGAGGATGTAGTATAATTACCCCTTAGATGCAATAATTACAACCTATTGTAGAAATCGGTTGCTTATCTGTATATAAGATAGTGTTTCAAAAGATATACTGTAACTTGTCGATATAATCTTATGTGCTGAAATCAGATTTATTTTCGCAGGCATAACGATAAAGTCCAGAGACTACATTTGAGACTGAAAATACCGATTGACGGAAGAATGATTATTTTTGGTATATCCGTCCATTTTGTAACCAGGGCAGTGATATCTGTCGGAATCTAGTTGTCAACTTTATATTAAAAACAAATATTAAAAGAAAAATGAAAGACGTCTGCCAATGCATTATGCTTCATAGAACGTAATATAGAAATATTCACAACTTTAGTACTGGTGTTGATAAAGTATTTAAACCATTTGATGCCATGCAATTAATAAAATTAATGACTGAGTCCTTTAAAATGTTCCTATCTGGCATATTTTTCCTTTCAGGCTCCATCCGATATTGACATATTGTAATAGTTGTATTGAATACAAAATCAAAACCACGAATATTTTGCATGCGTTCATCTTGACAAAATTCTTGCTAATAAATGTAACAGGAAGACTTTGTACTGCGTTTCACGTCAAACAAAAGAGTAACAGATGTAGAAAAAAGTCATATTGTTAAATTGATTGCTGCAGCAATAATTTTACAGTCTAATCTTTATTACAAATTTTCGATCAAATAACCAAATAATTCTTATTCTATTTTAAAGTTTTAGAAGAGATATTGGAGTTCGAGATATTTCCAAAGTTTGTTCAAAACCTTATAGAAAATTTCTACTTCGTTCAACATTTAAATTCGCGGTTAACTGTTACCACGACAGGAATAAAAATATGTATCCCGAAAATGAAATGATGAATTCACAGTACAGTCAATTAAGAAATTATTTCATTTATTTATTGTTATGTTTGAAGAATAGACATCAAACCCACTCCGGGTGCGGGATTTTCTCGATGTGTTGAAGACCTGTTGGTGAATAATGGCTGTCTTCTGCTCTTTGATGGGGTTGTTGTCTCTTAATTTCCATTTTCGATCAAGATTTATTATTGCGATTTCTACAAACAGATATATGTTTCATATTTCAGAATGCGAGGTATGAATATTGCGATTTTCATCCAGTCCCATTATTCGATTTAATAAAAATATCGCAAAAATTTCTGATTTACAGTACTTGATTTCAGGTGATTATCGAAACAATTTGTATATGCGGAAGATATTGAGGTATTACAGAAAGTAGTCCGTGAAGTTTAAATATTGTAATTAGCTGTAAACAATAGTAACTAGTATATTATGTATATTTAATAACTACTAACTATCTTCTGCATTCGGGGATACGAGTGCCTGTTGGAAATGACAATAACTACATAAAAAATAACAATTAATTGTATTATTGCTTTTGGATTTTCAAATATTTTTACCTCCACTAATTGCTAGTATTTTTTTGTTAATTATACATCATTGTCATTTTGCATAATTTCTTTTGTAAACTGTTCTAACATTGGAATCTGACTTCTTTTGAACTGAGTTTTACTGTGCGTATTGATGTGTGTTTGTTTTTTCTACATTGGCTAGAGATATGACGGGATGGTTGATATCTCTCTGAATGTGTTTAACCCCGCCTTATTTTTGCTCCTCTCCGAAGTCAGGAGCCACTGACCTTTGGTAGTCTTGTATGATTTAAAAATCATACAAGTTTTGGAGTTTGTTATGACAAATGTATGACGTCCCTTTCACTAAACTAGTACAAATTTTTGTTTAGGGGCCAGCTGAAGCCCGCCTCCGGGTGCGGATTTTCTTCACTAAATTGAAGACTTATTAGTGGCGTTGGGCTGTTATCTGTTCTTTGGTCGAGTTGTTGGCTCTTTGATACATTCCCCATATCTATTCTCAATTGTACTGTTAATGCTAACACATAAATATACGGAATCGTGCTCTGCCTAAAAGGACATATTACGAATAAATAAACTCATCATCGACACCAGGTTAAAATTTTGTATTTAAGCCAGACGCGCGTGTCGTCTACAAAAGACTCATCAGTGACGCTCGAATCCAAAAAAGTTAAAAAGGCCAAATAAAGTACGAAGTTGAAGAGCGTTGAGGACCAAAATTTCTAAAAGTTTTGCCAAATACAGCTCAGGTAATCTATTCCTGAGGTAGGAAAGCCTTAGTATTTCAAACATTTAAAAGTTTTGTAAACAGTTAATTTATAAATATGACCATATCAATGATAATTCATGTCAGCACAGAAGTGCTGACTACTGGGCTGATGATACCCTCGGGGAATTAAAACTCTACCAGCAGTGGCATCGACCCAGTGGTTGTAAATAAACTCATCATAGACACTAGGATAAAGTACGAAGTTAAAGAGCATTGAGTACCAAAATTTCCAAACGTTTTGCCAAATACAGCGAAGGTAATCTATTCCTGAGGTAGAAAAGCCTTAGTATTTCAAAAATTAAAAAGTTTTGTAAACAGTTTATTTATAAATATGACCATATCAATGATAATTCCTGTCAGCACAGAAGTGCTGACTACTAGGCTGGTGATACCCTCGGGGAAGTAAAACTCCACCAGCAGTGGCATCGACCCAGTGGTTGTAAATAAACTCATCATAGACACCAGGATAAAATTTTGTATTTACGCCAGACGCTCGTTTCGTCTACAAAAGACCCATCAGTGACGCAAAAATACACACACCAAAAAATAAAAATATTATATAATAATTTTATGGATTGCCTTCTTATTCCTCAGCATTGCTCAAACCTTCAAAAAAGGATTCATGATTGTCAAAATAAAGAAACATTCGTAGCAGCCAATTTTAATTTTGCCTTAAAAAATGAAATTAAAAAAATCCGAAATCCAAATATACATAAGTCCTTGAATTTTGAGGAGCTATACGATCAAACGGGGCCCGAAAGAAAAAGGTAAACTTTGTCAAAGGCAGTTTAAACCTTAGTTTCTCTCCATTTATAGTTTTCTAAGCTGATATAAAAAAGTTATGTTTTAAATCGCATCGAACACAGGCCAATGACTACTGAACTGTTGATATATACAATAACACTATATATTGGATGCGTCCAAAGGGTTTTCAGGACCAGTGTCAGTAATATTAAAACCTCAAAAAATGAAAGCCAATGATGCATAAGCACTTGAAAAGGTGAAAAGATATAAGGCACTAATGGGACTTTTGGCAAATCCATGTAACGTCAAACAGCATGTATTGAATTCGATGCATTCGAAGCACTTTTTTTTAATTTTTCTTCATCCCGAAATCTTAAAACCACAAAAATTGTATTCAAAATTGTCAAAAATATGGAACATTCGTCACGATCGTCTAGGGGACACAGTTTCCAGAATCTGTGTTCCAAAACTACAATTATAATTACACCAAAATCTAAAAGTCTAGTTTGGGTATAAACTTTCGATTGTCTACTGGTCTAATTTCAGCTGTTCGTCGGAAGAAGTGAAAAGGATGTAACGATTTTTTCTTTAGTGGTGCTTAGGGGATAAGATATACTTTAAACAGTCTAGTCTCTCAGTACTTCTGTACTGGCACGAAAGTACAGATATTGTTTTATCTAAATTTGTTGTTATAAGTCTTAGAAAATCATTTTCGTTGAAAGAAAAGTTGCATCCTCATGCATAGCTCTGAATCCTTGTCCGCGTGTTTGAATATATACTGGTTATTTACGATTATATTGATCTTGAAAATTTGTATTTAATAGCTCCCGAATTTTCATATCGAGCATTATTGATGTACTCATCTTCTAGATAAAATAGAGGCGATGGAACATATCGAAACGTTGAAATTTTATGGTTTTAATCTTTATTCGATTGTCTATGGTATACAGATGTTTCACTGGCAATCATACTATATCTCCTGGTAGCTATATTAAGATTTAATAAGAAGGCGCAAATTCAAAAATCATTCATGAAAAGAACACACATGTTGATTTATAAGCAGGAAAAAATCAAACGCACATCCTTGTTTTGTCTATCTTGTGTTTGTCTATTAGTATTTCTGAGAAAATCAAACTCACATCCTTGTTTTGTCTATCTTGTGTTTGTCTATTAATATTTCTATTTAAAGAGGTCCTATATGTGGTTCATAATTATCTATTTTTAATGTATCACACTTTGATTGCATCGTGAAACTGTTCATTAGTTTACAAAGCATCAATTACAGATAGTTTGTTTACAAGGATACATAATTTGTTAAGACAAATGCTATAGAAGAATCATTTACATAAGCTTATTTTGATGTATAATGTATTACATTTTGAAGGTATAATCGAAGATGTCCTAGTTTGTTACTTATAATGTGTCGCTTATTGATTGTATTAATGAATGACACAGCAACTAACTTCCTTAGATATATTGAAGTAAACTGGGAAAGTTTTAAATGATTGATTGTTTGTGTCAAGTTAAATGTTCAGTTGAATATACGTTTTTTTTTTTTCTCTAAACAAAAACAAAAAGACAAAATTATTTCGCCAAAAAAATAGCAAATCTTCTCTCTTTTTTTTAGATGGTGTGTTGATTTTTAAATGATTTGTATGTAAGGCTATGAATACTGTTATCAGATGTAAAACAATGTTAGCTTATCAATCCTTATTATCATCAGCATGTTAAAAAACACAATATCTGATTCATACTTTAGCCACTTAGGACAACAACAAATATAACTAGTCGTTTGAAAGTTTCCACTGTGCTTGTTGCTAAGGTGTATACTCCTATGGCATAAAAAATGATACCCCAAATATTTCCTCTCGTTTATTTTTCTTATAATTTCATCATTGGAAGGGCAGTGGTTCATGTATCATCTGCTAAAATCTTGATGAAATTCACCATTGCCTTTTATGTCGATGGTATATTGTATATTACCAATTTTGAGGTACCTGAAAAAACGTCGAATACACTATTATAGACATATTTATTGTGTGTTTTAAGACGTGTTTCCATAAGGAATATCCATGGCTGTTCAAATTGGTAGAATAAACATATTTGAAGTCTAAATGTATATGAATGGTTTTAAATTACTAAACAAGACGAAATTCTGACCAGTTAAGATAACATATCTATTGTGCCAGAAATATTAATTCGTTTAATTCCTGCAAAAAATTGCCAAAGCTATTGTTGTTCATTAAACATGAATATCACAAACTTTTCACGAATTTGACCGTTGGAAATGTACGAAATTTTTCATCAAATTTGGCTTTCTGACATAAGAAAAAAAATTATTTCAGTTTTTCCTACAAAACCTTCTACCGTTTATTTTTTGTTTTGTTTTAATGAAAGCTTTAAAACCGTGCTTGTCTTGTTAAAAATCATATCAACCATCTTCGGCCTCTTCCTCTCCCACTCCCCCCCCCCCCCCCCCCCAAAAAAAAAAAATAATAAAAACTCAATAAACTGATATATATGATAAAAACCATCAATGACAACGGATATGGTATTGCTTGATTTCTAATCACATTAAATATCAATCAAACAGGAATAAATAACTCCTTCCTAATGCGTTTAAATCACAGTCTTGTAAACATTCACAAGTTATCTACCTTTTATCGCTCGACTAAAGTCCAAGTCAACCAGTGGAAGTGGCATAATTGAATTGGAAAGGTAAATATATAAGTGTGTAACTGTACTCTGGTGCTGAACTGTAAAAATAAGTCAAGGTAAGCATAAATGTCAGAAAAAAGGGAAAAAAGGTAAATAGATGCAAAATAGTACGATATCAAAAAACAGGTAGATCCATTATAATTCTACTTCCTTGTATAGTACGATAAAATCAAAGTACTGTCGTACGGTTTACTCCGATGATCTTAATGTCTGATTGTTTACGAATTAAATATAGAGATTTTTATCTCACCGTAGACAAATGGTAGAACTGGTATTTACTTTAATTTTCAGTGCATGTTTGGCCTATAAAAATATAACATGTGTTCAATTACATAAGTTCTGTTGTCTTGTCTTGTCTTTGGGGTCAACAGGGACTCCTAAAATTCTTTAAAGATTTCCATAATTGTCTCAACAATAATAAACGCATCATAAATGTAAAGACAAATAGGGTGTGCATATTTTATTTATTTGTATAATTTCTTTGATAAATCACGCTTAATATTCGTTCACAATTGGAAAGGTTTAAAAGAGAATAAAACAATATCCGCAAGTCTGCAACCTCAAGCCTATTCCATATATTATACACTTAATGACACTTATAGGTGGTTACTAACCTTGACCTTTTTGTGCATGCTGTGTCTAATTTGCAGCATTTTGTTGTGTTAACAACTTCATTTAGATGACATAATTCAAGGCTTTTAAGTGTAAGTTATAGATAATGCATATTTTAAGGTTTTTCTTGTCGGAGAACACACCCCTCGGTGTGTTCTACGACAAGAAAAACCTTAAAATATGCATTATCTGACTTAAGTACCGTCAAAAAAATATTATTTTGTATAAAGATTTGCAAAATTTAGCATCCTATTTTACGGACCTCACTAAAGTGGGATATTCCTTTCTTATGCGTTCAGGTGTTAATACGCCCTACGGCTCATTTAGAATTTGAATTAAAACTCACTTATTAATCTAGATATAAACCTTAGAAATTATTATCCATACACAATAAAACTATTACTGTAACTGCATGAAGTAAGACACAAACGAATTGTTACCATCCGATAACGGTGTATGAAAAATACAAGACACTTTGTAAGTAATGATTTTCGTTTGAATAGCAATACATTTTTTAACAGATAATCAGGATATAATTATTTACCCTCCCCCATCCGACCCTATTGTGAGGTACGTGAATGTTATTCAATAGAATATAAAAATATTTTATTAGTTTATCATTTGGTAGAGTAAAAGGTATACATAAATTTAAAAAGGTTAAGAACTGACACGAAGGGAGCACATGTACATGTATACATGTAACACGAAAACGAATATCAATACATGTAGGTCACAGTATACGTATGATTTCCTATTCAGTGTGTATCGTCCTGAACATGCATGAAATATTTGCCACTGGACGTTAAGAAACCAACAATCAATTAACCTATTTAGTGTAAATCAATAAGATTTTCAAAATCTTACACACGAATATTTTAAATCTGACTATATTTTAAAGTGTTATTTACATTAAAATTCATCTCACATATATGATTATGTCTCTGTATTGTAGCGATAAATTAACAAAACTTAACGTTATTTGTTTCTAAAATTAAAATGCTGGCAATGACGATTTTTTTTACACCTATCTTTGACTGAACTTTAAAAAATAAATTCCCAAATCGGCAACAAAAAAACTATCAGACGAATATAATTTTGAAGTAAATTAAAGTTTGCATATTTATCAAGGAAAATAATGACCTCACACAAGTCATTATTTTATGCCTTGGAGCATATTTCATTGAAACATGGTATCGTCCGGGTTGATTCTTCGAAAGAAGGACCCATCGTTCTGAAAGAAAATAACTCCATATAGGTATATAATATCAAAGTTTTTCAAGATTTTTTTATCTGCAATTATCAATGATATGATAAAACTACCATAAGCAATCGTAAAAAATTTTTTTGAAGGATTGACATAGATTATACAATTAGAGCATTATGGTTCGATAATTTGAAGTATTTTCTAAAATACATAGTTTATTGAATTTGCTGTTCATAAGTTCTTTTTATGGATGCTTACAGTAGAGGAGATGAAAGGATTATTACACATTAAATCTATGTAAAAATAAAAATATGTCTTTGCATTAAATGTACATGCAACGGATCAATATTCAATTTCTACAATCTACATATCCAATATCAAATTTTAATATTTTTTGTAATATTTAATATTTTTTACACTATCATGTTTTTTCGGGTAATACGGGGTTGCAAGTTATATTACATTGTAACATAATAAAAAGAAATAAATCATGGGGTGAATTAAATGAAACTGCAACCACAAAGGACGACTGGGCTGTATATCTATGTTCATCCCTCATGTCCCGAGACTTTTCACATTCTACAGTTAATCTATGCTTCAGAGTCACAGAAGGGAAGACTTCACGCTTTGAACTCATAGAACCAAAGCGAATTTTTAAGAGGAGTTTCCATTAAACTATTTGTAAACTACGACCTAGACTGAAGTGTTTAATATTTTGGTTTGTTCATACATACCTAAATCTTGGCGTATTTCTTACATGACTATATTTGTAAATATGTCGTCATTTAAGTTTCAATGTTGCGAGATTTCATCCCTCACGTTAATACTTGTGCTTCAGTACGTTACTATTGCGCTATTTCTAGGCGGTCAGTTTTTATTGGCGGCGGAACCCGGTGAAACCACTAACATTCGATATGAAAACAAACTGATAATCCTAGTTAATTATGTTAACAGTCGAACGCACCTGCGACATGCAGGATTCGAACTCACAATGTCAGTGTTGACAGGCTAGTAATACAGTATAGTTTGACTGCTTAGACTACTCGACCACCGAGGCCCCAAGCAGTCAGGTGAGGTATATAGCATATCAACCATTAGATTATTCGTCTGAATCCAGCTCGTTGCGAAGCGTGTTTGACTTTGATCTTAATTCATACGATTTTTATACGTTGTGTTGCCAAACATTGCCAACGAGACAACTCTCCACAAGAGGCCAAATTACATAGAAATAAACAACTATAGGTCACCGTACGGCCTTCAACGATGAGCACAGCCTATACTGCATAGTCAGCTGTGCGCTGTGGGTTTTACTGGAGGTAACTTTAAAGCACTTGTTATACTAGTAAAAGGGATGTGTTTAGTATTCAGGTCTGAAATTTCAATATTTGAAAAGGATATCATTATTTCAGTTTAATAGTATTAAAGCAAATTCTGAATTGTGTGCATTAAATGCCTAATCACATCTGGTTCAGATTCTTTTGTTGGAATCTAAAAATATATATATGACTTTCATATTTTTCTTCTAATTTAGTTAGTTGAACATGTTTTTCCCAAAATATACTAATTTAAAAATTAGTTTTAGGAGTCTTTTCATATCCTGCTCTTATATGTAATTGTATCAATTAGTGAATGTTTCCATTTTCCCATTTGTGGGTCAACCATTGTAAACTAGTCGCCATGATGTAGCAAGAAGCGCTCAAAGTGGCATTTCACACCACTAAAACTAAACAAACGTAGCAGGGTATACATTAGCAATGTTATGACACTAACATACCAAAAGATTTTTTGGCATTTTCATCATGAGATATCATCTCAGTGTATTGCTTTACGTTTTCAATTCGGGTCTAGATCTGTGTGTTTTCCAAAATCATAATGTCATCGATCTAAATTTTTATTCTTGTTTTCATACATTACAGATGACGAGTTTATCTTTACATATATAACAGTTAATCCACATAATGATGATGTTTTATGAATTAAAGCAATGTTGCCTTTAATCTTGATGTCTACAAAAGATATATAGAAACTTGGAATATCTGAAATGACCAGAATTGAATACACTATCAATATAGACTTCTAATATCCGACATGATTCACAAATTAACCCCTTAATATTAAATTTGCACAAAAATATCACATTGAAACTATGGTTTTGAAAACTCTATACCAATGACTTAAAGATGATACAATCAATTATGTATTACTTGTATATGAACCCACAAACACAATGAAATTTAGAATAAATTGGCACCGTATAATTACCTATAAATATTTATTTTCTCCAATTATAGATCACTTAATTCAGTGATCTTTTAAGATAATTATCACAACGCTAGCAAAGACGTTTGCCAAATACAAATGCGAAATTAATTTTTCAATAGTAATTACAAATCTATAACCAGGGAATCCGTGTCAACAAAACAAAAAAAAAAAACAAATGTTATTAATAAACAAAACTTGACATGAGAATACATGCACTCACATACAGGGTTCATTCAACCTTTGCCAACATTTTGAAATTTAGGTATAAAACTGTATGAAAAAATGTTGGCATAGGTTAAATAATTTGTAACGGACTAAACGTTATAACAACATAAATTGATCAGCAGCTAATCAATTTACAACAAGTTTAAACTTAGCTTTTAATACCATTTTTGTTATTATATGTAATAGTAAAAATGTAGGTATAATTGTATTTGTTGATGATCTCTATTTCATTAGGAATTAATATAAAATTAATACATCAAAACAATGGAAAATAAGTGTTAATTTCTATAATTTCAATAAATGATCATCTATTCATGTAAAATATATACCAGTGTCAATCTAATGAATTATATAAAATATTTGAAAAAATATTGAATTCTATTTCAAATAGATTCCTTCAAGTACATAGAAGTACTGACTATCATGACTATACTATATATAGTACTATTGAAACACCTAGTTCTGTCTATGCGGTATGGGCTTTGCTCATTTTTGAAGGCCTTATGGTGACCTATAGTTGTTAATTTCTGTGTCATTTGGTCTCTTGTGGCGAGTTGTCTCATTGGCAATCATACCACATCTTCTTTTTTTATATTTCTCACACTGATTTGCGAATGATGGATTTCCAAATTACAATTAATGACACAAAATGTAATCATAAAACTGACTCGCACTTCAAGTTCATAAATAAAAAACAAACCGACAACAATTTCACTTATTTCTAAAGAAAAACTAAGTAAATAAAGGCTGCACTTTTTTACTGGAAAGCCGCTGTTTAATTAATGATTTTTTTTTTAAATTTTATTTGATACTTATTTTAAATTTCATTTTGCTAAATGAATTTGATTTAAAACTATTTGTTTTTTTATTTAATTATGGCATTATTGTATAAAGTGTTGCTTTTTTATTTGTATGTTGCATATTTAGTATAGAAAAGTTTATCATGAAAATCTCAAATAAAATAGCTTAAACATTCTTTTTCTGTAGTACTACATGTACATGTTCAATTTTTTGTATTTTTATTATTACTTTAGTATTTACTTCAACACAATTTTGCTAGAATCAAGTGTTCTATTTTACCATTTTAGTCTCTTTTATTTCTTTAAATCATTTTTACTTAGCAACAAAACACTTTTGCACATATTATATTCTTGGTTTTTTTTTCTTTTCAAAGAGTAATATTTTAATGCTAAAAAATACTGACTGTATTTTACCTGTTATTAATTGGTAACTGTTATAACAACACCTATTGTATTTTGTTTGTAGGCATAGGTTGAATATATATTTATCAAATGTTGGCATAGGTTGAAGACACCACATACAGACGTATTGAGGTGTAATGACACATAAATATTCAATACACACCACTAGTGTAGACAGACTAATAAATAGAAAAAAATAGGTAACTAATCAATTTACATCCATCGCCTTAAATTACATCTTGTATATGTAAGTTTTCGAATATTCATTTTCAAAATATAAGTTTGAAGGGAGACAAATATTCAGAATCAAATATATTCATTTTCAAATATAGGTCTGTACGCAGACTAATTTATAAATTTGAAAACACCAAAACAATACAAAATTCAAGTGTTTTATTTTATTTTCAGGAAATGGCGTCAAAATCCCCAAACATGGTCTATGAAACCTGTTCTAGGAGAAGTAAATATACCAATACTGTAAAGTATTGTACAGACTGCGAGGATGCACTGTGTTCAGAATGTTTAGATGTTCACGGAACAATTAAATCATGTGCGTCTCATCATGTTATAGATGTCAACGTGATTGACGGAAATCCGTTTATTGTCCATTAATCTTGCGAAGTTCATCCGGTTATGGTTTTAGAATATTTTGTTCTGACCATGACATATTGTGCTGTCGGTCATGTATGGCTAGTGATCATCGATCTTGTGACAAGTTACTGCCTATTGAATTAGCTGCGAAAGGCGTCAAAAGTTCGACCATGTTTGAGGAAATTAACACGGATGTCCGTATTCTTAATACCGCTGTTAACGAGCTGGAAGATAAAAAGAGAAAAGTCATACTTAGTCTTAATGATAGTAAGGTGGTTGTTCAAGAAGAAGTTAAAAATTTGAAGGAGCAATTGCAGAAGCGCATTCAAGAAATTGAAGCAGCTCTTATGTCTGAAATTGACAAAATGCGTATAAACCTGTCAAAAGAATCGAGTGACGACCTTGAAAAAGTATGCGGTCGACGAAAAAAGATACAAATATTTCTGAACAGTTTTTATCTGTCACAAAACATGGATCAGAAGGTCAAATTTTTATGTTCATTAATAATATCAAAGGTCAACAGTTGGCAGCAGTTCAAATGGATGGGAAGCAGTGGGGAATAGCTATGGAAGAAAACACGAATTCAGCTTGGATCACACTACCATATATACAGTCCGTTCAGGAAGTAGATACCGTTTCAGTAAAGAAGAAAGAACAACTGATAAAATTACCAGGACAATGTCATGGTATAGCTCTTATTGACGATCAAATTGTTGTAGGTAGTTACGGCAAAATATACATTATAGGTAAAACCAATGAATTAAAGAAGACACTTGATGTTAGAAATGGAAATATGATCTACTCAATATCAGTTGGAAACAAACAACAACTTTACTATGCTCAATTAGTTGAATTGGAATCCGTAGGAATAGATGAAACAGTTACCTCTATCTCTGCTGGAAATGTTAACAGCCTGATTGGTGTTAAACAGGACAGAACAGGCAATGCATATTTACTAGAATACCAAACAGCAAATTTTAAACTATTTTCATGTGAAGATAAATCTTTTAAAACTTTTTTAACAAAAAATGATGGACTAAGTATGCCATATGGCTTTGCTTTCAGTAAAGATTTTTCTAAGTTATTTATTTCAAATTATTATACCCGTGAAATATTAGTTTTTTTGTGCACATGAAAATAAAGAATTTTGGTTGATATGTAAATAAATATATGTATCTTTGCATCTGTTTGATATGCTTGATTAAAGAAGTTATTGAGGATATGTCATTTATTATATATAACGGCATTGATAATCAAAGCAAACTTAATTAGCTGTTCATGTATAGGTAATGTCAAATAAAATGCTAGGGAATATCAAACAATTCAAAAAAAAAAAAAAAAACACAACATAAGCTTCTTTATTACTGTTCATCATCACTAATGGGTTCTTTGATATTCATTGACAACCGGCATATATAGATATACAATATCTGTTCAGTGTATGAAAATATTATATTCATGATATTTATTTGACGAGCTTTAGAAACAGAGAGAAAAGCGAGGTTCGCTCAGATTTTCTCCTCTTTCGTAGTGAGTACAAATACATTTTATATGTCTACACTGTATGGATATTGTTTTTATCCTGCAATATAACATTGAGCTGAAAAATTGTAGGAATTGATTTCCATGTAACTCATACGGTAAAGAAACGTCAAACATAGTTTTTTGTCCTGAAATTTGCATATGAAGCCTCAAAATCTACACAACGAAAAACTAGGGAGAGGTGTTTGAGAAAACAGATCACCGAAAACGTCTGCTTCTGCTTGCTGGAAATAGATTATGTTTCGGTTCTTTCCATGCAATACATTATTTGATACTAACAATTCTCAAAAGAGAAATTTTGATGCTTGAACTTGCCATTATCGTTTTTCTTCGCTTCAAAACCCCCACCCCGTGTCAAGCATAGCCGACACCCCGCATGTGGCGTTCTACACGGTGCAATCGTTAAATTTGTTTTTGCATGAAATCGACATGAATTAAACGCGGACCGCAATGAGGACCCTAAATTGTACTGTGATGTTAACAGTAATTTGAACATAACCGTTCGCTCGCAACAGAAACAGGATACAAAGAGACTGCAAACGTCTAGTAAATGTTTATCGCTTTGTTTTATCTGTACACCTGTATTTGTAAAGTAGATAAGACGATTGCGGAATAAAAAATGTTCGCTAAACAGGTTATTTTTTTTTTTTAATATTCAGATCACAAGGCGTTATTTACTTTTTAAGCGTCATACAGATAAGGACAGTAAAAAAGCGATAGGTTCGGCGTGATAAAGTGTTAAATGCATTTTTGTAAAACAATTTAATGGGGTTTTTTTTCAAATAAAAGAGATTCTTTCTTAAATTATTTTCACACATTGATACCCTGCTTATACTTTGTAACCACATATCTATAAAAAAAATCCTGTAATATTTACAATACTAACAATCATGAATGAACAAGAGCAAAATATGTACTGAAACCTATCTTTCTGAAAATTGCAAATACTGATTCATCTTAATAACATGAAATTTAACAAACAATTGAGAAGATTTCTCGTTTTTTAGCAAGTGACAAAATGGATATAAAACACACATACATATGTAAGCATACAGGTTCATACAGTCGTTTTAATATATATTTTAATGCTGACTAAACAAACACACAACTGGAAACATTTAGCAAAATCTCATGTTGCAGGTCTTTCATATTCACTGTATACATCAAATATTGCTTAACTGAAAAATACTTTTGCTTTCCTATGAACCTACGCTATTAGATTTAAGCAAAGTGCAGCAAAAAGGAACTTACAAATACAGAAAACGAATTTAAGGGAATACTAATGTGGTTCTTCTGTATATATATTGATACAAGACAACTGTTGAAAAACTTGTGGATTTCATATCTGGTCTTTTCAGAATAGGAGAGGCGTTTTGTCCAATTGATATTGTAAAACTTGGTTTTGAATTGGATTTGATAATTGGTCCCATTAGTTGTAGAGCTCCATATTCTGAATAAAAAATCAAACAGAGAAAATACCAAGGAAGCAGTCGCAAATCACCAGTCCAATAAAAACGGACATCACTTACCATTGTTAATAACTTTTATAAGCAAGGAAGAACAAACTAACAAATAACAATAACATAACATATATAAATATAGTATTTCCCTATTAGCAGTCAGTTTTGTTCAATTATATCAACACAACGTATTAAGGGAAACACAACATCGCTGATTCATTATTGGCTTTTAAAAGAGTTGAAGTACAATCTTGAAAGAATATTTTTCTTTAATGATTTTGAACTAAATTGCAAATGCTTCTGAAAGTTTTTCATTAAAATAACATTAAAGCTGTTTCAACATTATGATGGTAGGGTTTTGGAGGTATTTAGATTGGTCAATTATTGGTGATTCCATTTTCCTTAGAATTTTGTTAGATCTATAAGCAAAATTAAAATTTTATATAATGGGTGGTTGACGTCTAAGTAGGTTAAGTAGTAATTATTTTAAACACCAAATATAGCTGACCCATTGCTTATGACCAAAAGACACAAACTAAATATTAACCCATGAATAATGGAAATGAGGTCAAGGTCAGATGATACTGACTAGACAGACATGTACTCCTTACAATCATTCCATACACCAAATATAGATCAAACTATTGATATAAGAATTTGAAAAACAGACCAAAACACAAACAAATTAACATTGACCAATGAACAATGAAAATGAGGTCAAGGTCAGATGACACCGGTTAGACAGACATGTACACCTTACAATCATTGCATAATCCAAATATAGTTGACATATTGCTTATTGTACTAGAAACACAGACCAAATCATAAAAACTTACCATTTACTAATGAACCATTAAAATGAGGTCAAGGTCAGATTACACCAGCTGGACAAATACATTCCGTACACCAAATATAATTGACCTCTTGATTAAAGTACTTACAAAATTGACCATAACACACAAATATAACAATGACCAATGAACCATGAAAATGATGTCAGCGTCAGATAAAACCTGCCAGTCTGACATGTAACCCTTTCAATCATTCCATACACAACATATAGTTGACCTGCTGTTTGTTGTATCTGAGAAAAGGACATAATCACGTAACTTTAGTCTTGATCACATGATCTATGATCCATGATCCATGAATTGAGAATGGGGTCAGGTTAACCCTGTCTGACGGACATGTAGACCTTCCAAGGAACCCATATACCAATTATAGTTATCCTATTACTCATAATAAGTGAGAAATTCCAAAAAAAAAATATAAACTTTTTTGAAGCAGTCATTGAACCATGAAAATGACAATGGGCATATGACAGACGGAAACTTCGTAACATAAGGTATCTGCATACAAGTTATGAAGCATCAAGGTCTTCTACCTTCTAAAATATAAAGCTTTATACAAATAGTTTACGCCGCTGCTGCCAGATAGTAATGCCTATGTCTCACATCAGGGATGGGCACGATTACTGACAAATGTAATCGATTAATAATCGATTATGTGAAGGATTTTTGTGCCCTCGATTAGTAATCGATTACTCTGATTTGTGTATGTAATCAATTGTAATCGATTACTTTATCAAAAGTAATTACATTTTTTTTCGATTACTGTCGATTACATGCTAAAAAATAATGAAAAAAGTTAAAACACAATTATGTTGCTCAACTTATTTAGAGCGGAAATTTAGAACTTTACAAAAACAGCTTTTAAAGCATTGTTTCCAAATGTTATGTTGACAGTTGTTTTCTAGATGGAAGCTCTTACAGATGATTTAAACTATTTAAACAATTTTGAGTGAGTGATGATAAACATGAGAACATTCTTGAAATGACATTCGACCATTGCATCAATCGCTTCTTTATATCGTAGGTCATTTTCTCCAGAGTTTGTAAATTTTTAAGTTTGATATTTACTCATTATTAACAAGTATATTTGAATATAGTTCTTTACAATGTGAAAGTTTTCCACGGAAAAAAATTATATAAAAATAAAAGATTAGTTCAGCTAATTTTAAAAGATGGAAATTTATAATTTATAATTACTTGAATGAATTTATCCTTTTGTTTGGATAATCCCCCTAATTAGAGGTTATAAAACTGTCAATGGAGAACAATTTATAACCTAGGGCAATATAATGTATTAAATCACTCACTTAATTAGACATAATTGAAATCAAGACAAAGTCTGTATCTCATTGATTAGAAGTCTATGATCATCTGATTAATAAAAACAAGAAGGATGTTCAGAATTATTTGTTCTCTATTCAAAATCATAAACAATATACATTTTAGTGTCAAAATGGGGTACATGTATCTATTACCGAACAAACATTTCAATGCATTGGTTCATTGTCAAAACGATTTTAAATTCTTTCCTATTTTTGATGTCATAACATTATGATGAATCAACAGTTTATCTATTCTAAGCTAAAATTCTAACTCTTATTGGAAAGTAAGCTTTAAGGAATTTTATTACAAATAAGCTTACTACTTCAATGTTCATGATGTAGTACAGTACTTAACTTAGGACTACATGTATTTTCCTATTTGAATCTATTTTCTTATTTTTAACATTTTTGTGCTTAATATAAAAAGTCATTTATTTCAAAAGCTGGAAATATAGTAAAATTTGTTAGATGTGGTTAATCATAATGCAGCTTGAGACAACAGATCTAAATAAGGTATTTGATAAACTCTCAAGTAATATTAATACATTCTATTCTATCAGTACTATAAACTGATAAATACATGCTGTTGTCTATTTTCATTTAAACTAGGTTTTATTTCATCAAACTATTTCACTAAAGTAATCGAAAAGTAATCGATGATTACATCATAATTTTGGCTGTAATCGATTAAATTACGATTACATGTAATCTAAAATGTTGTCGATTACAGATTACTGTCGATAAATTGAAAAAATGTAATCAATAACAATCGATTACGATTACAGATTACGATTACCCCATCCCTGTCTCACATACTGCGACTTTCTTTCCAGGCGAGATAAAAACTAAACATTGACCAATGAACCATGAAAACGAGGTCAGAGTCAGATGACAGCGGCAAGACAGACATGTACACCTTATAATCATTTCATGAACCAAATATAGTTGACCTATTGCTTATAGTACTTGAAAAACAGACCAAAACACAAACACCTAACATTTACCAATGAACCATGAATATGTAGTCAAGGTCAGATGAAACCTGCTAGTCTGACATGTACCCCTTACAATCATTCAATACACCACATATAGATGACCTGCTGCTTGTATCTGAGAAACAGACCTAATCACGAAACTTTAACCTTGATCATTGATCCATGAATTGAGGTCGAGATCAGGTTAACCCTTTCTGAGGGACATGTAAACCTTCCAAGGAACCCATATACGAAAGATAGTTACTCATAATAAGCGAGAAATTCACATGACAAAAACAATGTATTTTTTTATCAAGCAGTCATTGAACCATGAAAATGAGGTCAAGGACAATGGGCATATGATATGACAGACGAAAAGTTCGTGACATAAGGTATCTGCATACAAGGTATGAAGCAACCAGGTCTTCTACCTTCTGAAATATAAAGCTTTATACAAATAGTTTAGGCTGCGCTGCTGCCGAATAGTAATACCTATATCTCCCATACTGTAACTTTTGTCGCAGGTGAGATTAAAACACTTTTTTATTTAAAAAAAATCAAAATCTTATTTTCAAATTCAAAGATTTTTATTTAACTGTCATACACCAAAAAGAAAGTTCAACCAGATTTCCTCAAGAAACAGGAAAAATAAAAAAAAAAAGAAAAATGTAAAAATGCAATGAAAAACTAACAAGTAATACATGAACAAATGGAAAAAAAGTAAAATAATTAAAGTACTGAACTCCAAAGAAAATTCAAAATGGAAAGTATCTTATCAAATGGCAAAATCAAAAGCTCAAACACATCAAACGAATGGAAAACGACTGTCATTTTCCTGACTTGATACAGGCTTTCCTTATGTAGAAAAGGGTTCATTAAACCTGACGAAGCCTTTGTATTCAAGCTGTACAAAATCTCTCATATTCATTAAGAAGAGCGTTTAATTGTTCAGTTTATCTTAATATGCTTAAAGAGAAACGGGTAAATGTAACAAAATAATTGCCCAACTACAATAAAATGCTTAGTCGAGTGCAGCTTGCTACAACCGCAGAGGCCAAACCCTGAACAGTTGGGGGAAGTTTGGACACAATATTCTCTGAATTTGGATTGTAATCAAATTTTTTACATAAAAATTAAATAAATGTGGTCAAAGATCTTAAAAAATTGAAATGGGACATTTAATTTACCTAGTATGGTTTGATATCCTATTATCCAAAAACACCAAAAATTTAATTTTAGTTGAAATTAGACAAAGTTTAATTTTGGCTCCTTCCAACCTAAATATGGACTAATTTGAAAACAGAGCCCAAAATAAAAAAAGTTAAAAGCAAAATCAGATTCAGCATATCATAGAGCTGCAATAATTCAAATTTGGATGAAATCAAACAAAGTTTAATTTTGGACCTTTTGAGCCTCAATGTAGACAAATATTAATAAACAGACGCGCCATGAGCGCATGATACACCCATCATGTTTTCTAAGAATAAAGTTAAATAACTTCTCCATGTCATATCAGAAATTTATGAAAAACTAAAAAGAGGTTATCTTAATAGATACAAACCAGGCACCAAAGTTTAATGAAAACTGCTCAAAGCACTTTAAAGGTATTGTCCTAAAACTGGAAAATCCCCCTTTTTTTAATGAATAAAACCCCATAACTCGGAAACGTAACATCCAAAATTTCTAAAAATGAAAAGGTAGCTAGCATCAATGAATATAAACAATTCACTTAAGTTTCATGAGAACTGCTGAAAGCATTTTTGAGTTATTGTCCGAAAACTAGAAAATCCCCCTTTTTTAATGAATAAAACCCCATAACTCGGAAACGTAAAATCTAAAATTTATAAAAATCGAAAGGGAGCTCATGTCGATAGATAAAAACAATTGACCAAAGTTTATTGCAAATTGGAGAAAGCCTTTTTGAGTTATTGTCCGAAAACTGGAATACCCCCCTTTTTTGAATGAATAAAACCCCGTTTCTCGGAAACGTAAAATCTAAAATTTATGAAAAACGAAAGGGAGCTCACGTCAATAGATATATACAATTCACAAATTTGGTAAAGCATTTTTGAGTTAATGTCCGACATGTTGACGACGGACGGACAGATGGACGGACGGACAGACGGACAACGGTCTACCGTAAACGGGCGTATAAAAATGGGGCACAATATTCAAAAAAATTAGAATAATAATAATTAAAGACTTTCAATTAATCCCATTAAAATTGGTTAAAAGATTTGTATTTCTTTTCAATTGAAGATTTCTTGCTTTTGTGTGTTACTGCGCAATACAATACTTAATCTGTTATATATAATAATTTACACACTGTGTTTGGTGTGTATCTCCTGCCATATCAGTATTTGTTTCTTTTATATATAATCAGAAATAATAAATGGAAAAATGGAAAAATTTGGGAAAATAAAAATCCCCCCCCCCCCGCCCCACCCAACCCCTACCCCCTAAACTTGTTTTGAAATTTTGAAGATTATTTTCTTTAAGGCAAAATTTCAGAGAGTTCCATAATCTGTAACACAAGTTATTTTCTGAAAACTAATAACATACTTATTTTTGGCTCCTTTTTTTTTTTACCCTTATTCATAAAGTTTGAGGCAATTACCACCAAACTCAATCCCAGCCTTTTTGTAATGAATAAAACACTATAACTCGGAAACGTAAAATACAAAATTTATAAAAAACGAAAGGGAGCTCACATCAATAGATATAAACAATTCACCAAAGTTTTATGCAAATTGGTTAAAGCATTTTTGAGTTATTGTCCGACATGTTGACGACGGACAGACGGACGGACAACGGTTTACTATAATACGTCCCGTAAACGGCTGTATAAAAATGCTTGGTTTTGGCCCCTAATTCCTATGTTCATACCACAACCCCCAAAATCGATCCTAACCTTCCTTTTGTGGTATTGAACCTTCTGGTAAAATTTCATAGAGATCCATTCACTTAAACTAAAGTTATTGTCCGGAAACCAAATGTGTCTTTGGACGCCTACGTCATTGACGAAGAGACAACAACATGATCACATTATACAAATGCAAATTTTTTGCAGTCGTATAAAATCGTAGAAAAGACAGATAAAACTATTAGTTTGTGAAACACCTGTTTCATAAATAATCGTCATGTTAGTTTGATATAAAACATAAATGACGAAGAATATGTGATGAATACATATGATTTATTATGGTGATATAGGTTATTATGAAGGGGTTTATTGACATGTTCACCTGAACTTCTCATTCATACACAAACTGAAAATAAAGGTCCATTGCAAATAATTTTTGTGATTAAGAGACAGATTTTACACATAATTTAATTTCATAAGATTAGCCTTGATTACTTATAGTTCAAAATCAAATACACATATCCAGTAATAAAAGATTTCATCAACACTTATAAAACTTTCACCTGTGTAGGAATTTATACTTTTGAGGTCATCTAACAGATTTATACATGTATAACCTTTTGATTACCCATCACTCTCCAATGAAATAACCCTAACAAACAACATTCGAATTATCATTCAATAATCCTTGATAAGTTTATGCTTCATATTTTAATATCCTTTATAACAATATCATTATAATAATAAAATCACAACAGGTATAAAACATATGCAAATATCAGCATCCTCAAACATCTTTCTGTTTTTTCCTGAAGAATGTGGTCTCCACAGGGTCAAAGCCTTGTTCCTTTGCTCCAAACACAGCCCATGATGGAGTCTTAGCCATATTATCTTCAGCAGAGAATGTCTTTTGTGATTCATTAAAGCCCTTAACTAACTGATGAAATTTGGGGTAGTCTATCCACATCCACCATTCACCATCCACTTTAAACTGTAAAAATTTGATTGGACTTTGATATACTTAACAATCAAGTTTGATGCAAACTTTGAAATTTCTTTTTGATTATATTAACAACTAGAAAAACCCATGCTTGAAGACCACTTTAAATGTTTATGGTGATACACATCTTTGGTTCGTGTTTCTCAAACTGTTTTTATGCAATGATGCATTATGTTGATAGTTTTGATTAGTTTGTCAGTTCTTCTTCCATAGGAGTTTGAATGTCCAATTTGTAGCTTCTGTCTAGGTGTTACACAGGTGCTCCAAGAACTGAGGAAATATCTCAGAGAAGAAGAAAACAACCTAGAACACTGATGATCAAAACATTTCTCAGTGGTGATAGTTTGTAGTATTTCTTTTTTTTTTAGAAAGTGCGAGTCAAGTTCTGTTTCTGTAATATGGGTACTCCAAGAACGGAGGAAGTAACTAAGTGAAGACAATCTAGAACTCTCTGGTGATTTAAAACATTTCTTCAGTGGTGCAAGATTTTAGTTTTTTTTTTCGAGTGTTGTGATGTTCTGTCTCTGTGTGACACGGGTGCCTTGGGGAAAGGAGGGATTTACTTAGAGAAGAAGAAAACAATCTAATGATTAAACACATTTCTTCAAGTTTGTTATATATCTTCTTTTTTGACTGGTGTGAGTTTGATAAAGTGATGCCAATTGTAATAAAATGCTTCGCTGAGCACAGCCTGATACGACCACAGAGGTCAAACCCTGAACAGTTGGGGCAAATTTGGACACCATATTCAAGCTTGATACTGTCTGAATTTGGATTGTGATCAAATTTGTGACATAATATAGGTTTCTGACATAAAATAAATGTGGTCAAAGATCTTAAAAATATATTGCGCATTACTGTGAAATTGAAGATTTCTTCTTGAAACTTAAAAAAAAAATTTGAAGAAAAAAAAAATATGAACCCTTGAAAAAAATTGGGAAAAAAAATCCCCCCCCCCACTTTTTGAACCCCCTCCCTCTTGGAGATATTACCCCCAAACTCAATCATAGCCTTCCCTTTGTAGTATGGAACCTTGTAGTACAATCTTAGGGAGATCCATACACTTAAACACAAGTTATTGTCTGGAAACTAGAAAAATGCTTGTTTTTGGCTCCTTTTTGCCCCTATTTCCTGCATGATTAGGGCAATTACCCCCAAACTCAATCCCAGCCTTCCATTTGTGATATGGAACATTGTGGTATAATGTCAGAGAGATCCATACACTAACACACAAGTTATTGTCCGGAAACTACAAAAATGCTTGTTTTTTACCCCTTATTCCTAAACTATTGGTACCATAACCCCCAAAACCAAACCCAACTTTCCTTTTGTGGTATTGAACCTTCTTATAAAATTTCATAGAGATCCATTCACTTGAACTAAAGTTATTGTCCGGAAACCAAATGTGTCTTCGGACGACGATGACGACGACGACGACATCATAGCATTATATGAAACCATTAAAATGTTTGCGGTTGTATAATAATTAGTGAGAGTGTTTGAGTGGTGCGAGTTGGCTGTGTGCCAAGTCGTCATAAAATCAAGACAAATTGAATACAAAACCATTTCCCCCTGCATACAAAACGTAGACGGTAAGAAACCAGGTACGGAACTTTATTTGGGTTTAATTAATTAGGCTACGCTAATTAATGCAATTGCTATATGAAGTTATAAAGTTCATTACATACACTTCCTATTTATTAGTATATAATACTTCAGACAATCATCGGCTCGGAGACAAATCGGCTAAAATATTTTGGTCTACAAATTTAATAGTATAATTAGCACATAAAGCTCAAAAATATGTAACCTTGTTCTAAAACATGCGTGATTTGATATCCATGTGTATTGAATAAGGTACACTAGTAACCATAAAAAATATGGACAGCCACAAATAATATAAATATTAGTACACCAAAAGTTCTATGACTGTGTATATGTAAGCACTGGTTAATGGACAGTTGGCTTGTCCAGGGACTGATTGTCCACCAGTAGCAATGATTTTTCTTATCAATTTTATTCACATGCAGCAAAAGATTACAATATATTCATGATATTGTATCCAGTTATATGAGCGTTTCAATATTTATTTATTTACTCATCATTGATGTTTGTAATTTAAACGTTGTGAATTATGTAGCTACCTGTCAATTGTGAATTGTATAGCTACTGTAAATTCAGAAATTATTGCATGCATTTATTATTGTGAAAAAAGGACAAGAATGCGATTCTAATTATTGCGTTTTCAGAAAAATCGACTTACAGATCTATGTTTTAGTTATCAAAATGTGAGTTCTTATCATTGCGATACTCACCTAGTCGCATTATTAGCATTAATATAAGCCTTGCAATAATTTCTGAATGAAAAGTACCTGTTAATTGTTGAAAACTGTATGCTGAGATGTTCATGATGTTGATGTTGTATTTTTTCTTATTATTGTTGGATCGAAAGTTGGGTATTTTTCTATGTATATGTTTTGGTATTCTTGAAATCTATCCAACATATCTTCTTAATAAATCGTTACATGAATTCATCATTTCAGATCATTAATAAAACTAACACTGCTGTTTATAGCATTTGACATTATTTTACTATGTTGAAAAACAATTAATTTTCTTTAAAATATTTTCTACTGTGATGCAAACAATTTCACTTGAAAACAGAGGATTCATTTTAATGTTAGACAAACTTGAAATTTAAGATTCCAAATAAAAACAAACCTTAGTATTAGCAATAAGTATACAGTTGGAATGTTCATGCTCAGAAGCTATCTCGTATTCATCCAATCTATCTGTGAGCTGTTTGACAAAATGTACTACTTCCTCATGCCAGGGGACATTTTGCATGGTCAAGCTAGAGGCTTTGGATTCTCGACAGTAAGTTACACCCTGTAAAAAATACAAAAATGCCTAATTTAGAGGTGGTGGTTCACGAAGTAACTATCAACATTAAAGACAGTCTACTTTCAATTTTAGTGTGCTTCATTGAAGTGCATGAATAATTATTTACCCCTCTTTTGTTTTAAATCTATTTAATTTAAAGAAATTTAAGTCACTATGTAGGTCAGACTAATTATAAAAATATAACTGCATAATCTATACATGCAATCAAAAGAACCTAAAGTATCATATGTTTCGCAAACATTAAGAAAAGAATACTTTTAAATGATCTACAAGGTAAGAGGTTTGACCTAAAACCCACCTATTTTTTCTGTATCAATGATTACTACTACAATTTTTTTTAAATACTTAAATCAAATTTACTCTTTATCTATAAATTGGACATGACACAATGATTGATTGATTCATTCATTAGTGTTTAACAACACTTTCAGTATACGTACTAATGGCTTTTTCATGGCAGTCAGTTTTAATTGGTGGAGAGCACCACGACCATCAGCAGGAATTAAACTGACAATCCTTGTCAATTATGATTGTAGTTGAGGACCCCTGCCACATGTGTGGTTCTAACTCATAACCTCACTGTTATCAGGCTGGTGATAGAGTAGTTGAACTACTTAGAACACTCTGCCACCGAGGCAAAGACATGATATAATTAATGATTTTGCTTATTTTCTTACATTTGAAAGACAACAGCACCCTAACATAATCTTTTTTAAACAAGTTCAGAGTGGTTATAAATTTTCTTTGTCATACAGTGTTGCAACTCCCACTAATATTTACCTTAATTTCTATAAAATCTGGTTTTCCAAGTGACACTAATTCAGCATAATTATCGAGTTCATCAGTATTCCATGCTTTTACTAATGTTAATCTTTATACAGTTCTTTGACGTTTAGCACTTAAAGCTTTTAAACTGTCTATAAACTTTTCCCAGAAGTCTTTGAATAATGGACGATATATTTTTTTTAAACTTTCTTTTGTACTGGCATCAATACTGTCATATAACTGTGTAACGGGAACCAGATTGCTGAAACAAGATTTACAGAATTAAGAGTGATAATCTATCTACATAAAAAATTAAATGTGAAATATTTTAGTATAACTAAACTGCATTAAACTTAAGTTAATTTCAATAAGTGAGTCAAATTTGTAATTTTGTAGTCTTTATCGTTTATAACCATTTAGTTGGCTTTCATGCTCTCTCACTTTATAATTGATATGAATGTATTCAATGTACTGTGGATTTATTTTTCTTTGTTGAATGCCAATTTGTGTGGGTTTCATGGGTACAACTGAACCACCAACTCAAATGATCAACGAATTACAAATTGTCTATAGGCTCTGTATGCAGAGTGGCAAAATCATGAAATCAAATATCCACGAAAAGTAAGTTTTCCCCAACCCACGAAAATTGATACCCACGAAAATAAATTAATCCACAGTATCCCAAAACATATGAGAACAAAAAAGTTTGAATATTTCTCAAAAGTATTCTTGATAGTGTTGAATTCTTTGAAAAGTAACCCATGTAAAGCATGTAAAAAAATATTTATGCTGACAGTAAATTTTGTAGCAAAACATTTTTCCCATTCCATACTTTATTGCATCAGGAAATTGTGCATTAGTAACTAAGAAGGATGAGATGCCTTTTCCATGAAGTAGTTCTATGAATCTGTTGATTTCTGGGTACATGATAGGTTCACCTACTAAGGACAAGGCACAGTATTGAGGTTCTTAACCTTCTGCAAATCTTTCTGGTTTTACTCCAGGGACACCTGTATTTACAAAGCATAACACATTACTATGAAGTATTCAAAATATTACATGTTTTTAAAATTTTTTGTTTTAGAATTATGGTCAATTAGTGATACAGGGTGTACAAACTGAGTATTCATTATTATTCGTTGGATGTCAATTCTCATGGGTTTTGTTGGTACAGGTGAACTACGAATTCAAATGTTCAACGAAGTACAAAATGGCTATAGGCTTTGTCATCACAGATTGGCAAAAATAACAAAATCAATTATCCACAATATTTCCTCAGTCCACAAAAATTGATACCCATGAAAATAAATGAATTCACAGTATACAATTATCTCCCTTAACAAAGTAAAAGAGGGAAATGAAGATTTGTTTACCCAAGAAAATTCATATTTCTCTGTGGTTTTAGCATTAGGGAAATATATTACCTGCTCCTTGTCATAGACTGTTACTTGTGGAATGCTATGCTAACAAACTTATGATACTGATTCTAATGTGCAATAACAGTTTTGGGAAGAAAAATTTATAAAGCATTTTTAAGCTAGAAAATCAAATAGATCTAAACATGAAAGTCAAAACCATCTGATGTAAATTGTGGCTGAGAAAATTGGAACTGCAAGCAATTTCAAGGACAAAACATAATGACCATTTTAGAATATCAATAATAGTCTTGAATTCTGGAACATTTAATTATAAAAACACCTGGGGCCGATCCAGGAATTTTGAAAAGTGGGGCATAATTTGGAAATTGACAGAAATATGGTCTATTTTCGATCAAAGTGTGGGGGAATGAGGTGTACATCTTCTACCAACCAACCCACCTTCCCCCTTTAAATACGTCATTGAAGACTTCACTTCACTCCATGTAACATGTACTGACCTTTGAACTGTTTGATTAAGCCCACATGGTTATCTAGAGCTCCTTGGAAAACAGTATTTGGATCGTCCATCTTCCATCTCCATTCTGTACCTACAGGGTTAGTGTGATGCCTGAAAAAGAATAGACAAAATAAAGAAATCAACATGCATTCCATCATTCTGTTAAAATTACATTAGATGTATATTTCATTATAATACTATTTTGATTGCCTAACATCAATCTCGCGTCATTCTGAAATTAACATTCATTTCAAAATGAATTTTAACATTCAAGATGACACACGTTTCCACAACAAAGTGCACAGGTAAATAAAAGAAAAAACTTGATTGTAATCGTGTTTTCATGATCATAGCGAAAAAATGTAATTATAATTATTGAATGATTCTTTTAGTAATTTCATAGGGTTGTTAAAGAGTCCGCTTCTGCGCTTCATACAAAATGTACTTCGTTCAACGCTTTTACACCCCAATGAATTTACAAAAAGAAGCATTCAATTCTTAAATAAAAAATTTAAAAACAATAAATTTTGATCTACAAACCTGATTCACATGTTTAACATGTTTATTTGTACAAAAGTGTTATCCAATATCAACGACAGGGTAGAATTCTCTGTTTAATCAAGTATCATATGTCTGAGATAAACAAGTTTATATGTGAGTTATTGCTCACTTATGATAGTCTCACTATAAGTATTCGGTAAACAGATAGTTGATAAGCAATGGATGTGAAGTTGCATCACAGGATAAAGCATGCTAATAGAAAGCTCTGATTAGTAGGTCAAGAGAAAATTGTGAAGGAGAGACTGGGGTTTACCAGAATACCCCCACCCTTTGAAGTGGGGGTATAAAACTAGTCTCCTTATTGATTTCATGTTATATTTTAGATTTAGAAAACTATTATATTTCTTTCCTAACCTTCTTGTATCTTTTTAAATCTTACAAAATAAAATACATAAAAAGGATAATTAGAATTACTCAAAATATTGGACAGTACAACAGACCACGTCAACTATATATAAACAATACCCTACTACCCTGAAAAGTATACACACATTCAAGAGGGAACACCAAACCAAAACAATTGCAGTATTTAATATCATCAATAATAGTGGATTATGCAAATTTCAATGGTTGTTCCTTCATAGCAATGGAAACCAGGGTAACACAACATATAACCCCTTTTGGGCTTTTTTGTCTGAAGCAATTTTCTGTTTTGTTAGTCCATCGAAATCAGAAAATTGCTCTGAAAAACAGAATCTGCAAAGGGATTACAATACATATAAATCAGAGCGGATACAAAAACAATCTAGGAAAGCATATAGAAATCTCGAAACAATAGCTGTGTTACTAGAACTGTGAGTGATCTTACAAAAGGTTACAACCTGGGCCGAAATACTAATAGTATATTGAGGAATGTAATTTTGATTATCTCTCCTTCAACATGTTGGACAGGGATTATATTCTTATGATTAAATAGTGTTAAACAACTGTGTGAAGTTTCAAAATTATACGTCAATGCTTTTAGGAGGAGTTGAGTACAAGATAAGACACAATGACAGATAGATGTTTTAATGCTACATTAGACATGATTGCCATTTAAAAATATCACTCTTCCAAAACACCTCAGCCAACAGCCTTCCCTTTTTTATGACATTAGCCCCATTTGGTAACTGTTAGTCCCAGTTTAATGCTACACCTACCTCCAACAAAGACACATGCATTTGCACATGCCTGACTGGTAGTAGTTCCCATACATATGTGACTCTCTATACCATAAAAAGCATGTTTGTAACAACCTCCTTTTCCTCTCAACATGAACTGAAAGCATTGAAACAATATAGGTTTAAATTGTTGGTCAAAATCTACCTTTAAAATATCACTTTAGCCAATCATCTTTCTGATAAGAATCCCAGTTTTTGCTTTGGTCTTTGCAAATAACTTACAAGATGAAAAGCTATTCTAGTTTGTGAATGAGAATTTTTTTATTGTCTTATTCTTTGCGGCATTGGAATGAGATATTCATTTTTTATATTAAATTTTTACATGATAATTTAATTTGTACTTTAATTATGTTAATTTCACCGTATTTTGCCTAAAAATGATCTCTTACTTGTGAAAATAGCAATCCAAATGCTTGCAAGTATTGAGGGAAAGAATTACTTTCAGGAAACAGGTTTAGACAATATTTCGAATTGGATTTATCTACTTTTGTAAAAAACTGGAGGTAGAACATATAGATTCATATTTTATGCAATATTTCTGCAGCTTATGTTTTTATTCATTCTGAGTTAACAAACCATGACTGAAGGTGCAAGGCCAAATAATCTTCATGCAAATAATATAAGCAAATGCTAATACAACTGCATACCAAATATCAATTCCGCCCGCACAACTATTACATGTACATCAGGACGAGAACATGTTTAAGGGATATGTTTACATGTTCATTATTGCCTTAAGTTTTTAATTTCAACAATTGCATTGCACTATACTGCACTATCACAATTACGCAGCAAAGGTGAAAAAAATCATAGATGGCACCATCTTAGATTTCAATTGATCAAACACCATTAGAGCTTTCGGATATTTTTTTTTTACTTTATTGGATATTTAAGTTTTGATTGGAAGAAACAAAATCATTGCTGCCAAACAAATCCTCTGAAACTACATGACTAATTGTTTTGAAAATTTAATGAAAACAAATCTTTCAAAAGCTTAATTTGTAGAATTTATCTTTTATTTTAGTAAATAAGGGGTTAATCTGTCGAATAAGGGATTTGTTCTCCTCTATACCTTCAAATTTAAATGGCAATTCAAATTTACAACCTTTCATCTTAGTTCACCAACTTTTCATTATCAACTATTTGATGTATTGTTGAATTTGTTCTTGTTCCCAATAGTCTTTCTTCATAACACAAACATACCATTAATACTAAATAATCTATTAACAAACAAAATTAGGGGCCTTGGTGGCCGAGTGGTCTAAGTAGTCAAACTAATGTACCACTAGCCTGTCAACACTGAGGTTGTGAGTTCGAATCTCGCACATGGCAGGTGCGCTCAACTCCAATCTTAATTGACTAGGATTGTCAGTTTTCCTACTGAAGGTTGATGCTTCTCTCCGGGCACTTCAGCTTCATACACCAATAAAATCTTACAGCCACGAAATAGCACAATAGTGCTGAAAGTGGCATGAAACACCAATCAATCATATTAATAAATCAATCTCCAACAAAATTCAATATTAAAACCATGTGCGACAACATGAAACAAATTGATCATAAACATGTATTTTGAATTTAGAATATAAACCAGTTTCAATAAAACTTAAAACCATTTACTTTCTGGATTATAATCAATTAAATCAAACTTATTACAACACTTTTTGTCAATATCAGCATGATTGGGTGAGTGTTTGAACCAAAACAAAATAAGTATTATTGACTTTATCTACTACACATGCAGTATTATTCCTGTTAACCAAATCGTATCTACTACACATGCAGTATTATTCCTGTTAACCAAATCGTATCTACTACACATGCAGTATTAATTCTGTTAACCAAATTTCTATTTAATTTGTTTGCTGTACTTATGACATATTAAGTAAAGCTTAGAAAACCAATGGCAGATATTAATTTAAGCTAAGAATATCAATGACAAGAGTTAATTAAAGCTAAGAATACCTATGACAAGATGTTAATTAAAGCTAAGAATACCAATGACAGATGTTAATTAAAGCTAAGAATACCAAAGACAAGATGTTAATTAAAGCTAAGAATGCCAATGACAGATGTTAATTAACGCTAAGAATACCCATGACAAATGTTAAATAAAGCTAAGAATATCCATGATAGATGTTAATTAACATTGAAAATACCCATGACAGGTGTCAATTAAAGCTAAAGATACCCATTGCAGATGTTAATTAAAGCTAAAAATAGCCATGGCAGTTTTTAATTAAAGGGGAGAATAGCCATGACATGGTAATTAAAGCTGAGAAAACCCATGATAGATTTTAATTAAAGTTGTAAATACCTATGACAGATGTTAATTAAAGCTGTGAATACCTATGACAGATGTTAATTATCTCTAATGACTGTGATATATGCTGTTACTTGTTTATTGTCAAATATCTATTCTGCTATTAAAACATTATAATTTTTACTTTTATATTCTTATGCCAAGATTTGAATATAAGGCCATATGCATTTGATAAAAGATACCAGTTACTTAATCTGGTGCTTTGGATTGTTTTAAATTTTCAGTGAGATGAGTAACTTATTTAGCTCTGCATTAGACTTTGAGATAAAGTACGGTAGTGAAAAAGCTGTTCCTACGTGAAGATTGTAGAATTGTTAATTAGGGGCTGATTAAGAACTTTACAGGAGGAGTGGATATTTTTCTAGACTCAAAATTGCATAGTGTCCTTCGTATTGCTGACATGCTGTCTTATTGACAATTTCTCCATTATTCTTCTTTGTAGGAAACAATGAAATGTTATTTAAATTGTTTCTACTATTGCCTAGATAAACACCTTCCAACATTGATTGATACAACATACGTGCTACAGTACATTATTGAGGGTATGGATGGGGGGGCCCTTTTTATGTATTCTTTAATTTTTTGCTCATTATTCATTATCTTTTAAAATAATGGCTATTCTGTAATTACTTGATAACTGTATTCTGGACATTGTTCTTTTCTGTAATCAGTATATTTTTACCCAATTCTTTATTTCTTTGCAGTTATTCATTAAATATTAGCACCCCATTATTCTCTAGTCTATTCTTTATTTTTTTGTCAATTTTTCTCTCTTCTGTAATTAATTTTTTACCATTATTCTTTATTCTGTAAACCCCAGACACACCCTCATTATTTCAACCTAAAAAAATACGTTTGTTCAAGAATTTAGCAATACCATATGATACGATGAAACAAAACTATTAATAATTAAAAGTAACAACAATTCATAATTGACGTAGCATACTTTTTTAAAACTCTGAATAAAAGCCAGCATAAAATAAAATTCCTAAGAATGCTGAATCATCGTATCAAAAATCAATAGTTTTAAACGTCAATTTAGAATTCA